AAAGGACGACGGAATCTGTCACACTTGGGATTGGTGGAAGAGAGGTTTTGTAAAGGCTTCTCCGCCTTGCTGTGGGTGCAAAAGGAGAGTCACTTTGGTAATAGTGCAATACCTGAAGAGTGAGTCTTCAGGGAGTGGATGTAGATCGTATTTGACCGAACCACTATAAATATTTGTGTCTTTTAATTTCCGTATTTATTTACTGTAAGTTATTTACTATGGTTGAAAAATTTATTTTTAAACTTAAATTAACTTGCGATGAGATTTAAAACAGTTTTCTATTAAAAAATCCAAGATAATTTTTAAATTACCAATTCACCCCCCTCTTGGTTAGTTGTGGGACAATAGCTTAGGTTTAACAACCTATACAGAATTAACAGTTTAGGTGTGCTCGAGTTAAGAGCTAAGAGAGAGAAGTTTAAATTCTTCTTGTTGGTGAGCAACTAGTTATCCTACGAGTTCACTACAAGCTCCATTTAATTATGTATTGATTATTATTTGTTCAACTTTATTTCTAGGATATCGTGCATTTATATTTGTTGACCTAGGAGTTTGGGTAGATTTCATTTTATATAAATTTCTCTAAGTCGTGAGTTTTATTATAAATTTTGGCAGCACTCTGACATTATCCCCACGTAGGGAGCTACATCATGGTATTGAGCCTTCACGCCTACCAAGAAAAGTAGTCACGATACGTGTTAGGCGACATCACGATCAAAATTTTATTCCTAGCTCGCTAATAAAAGCAATAATGGGATCTTCAACTATATGCTTAAAACATATTATTTCATCGCCTCTTAAAAAAGCAGTCATAGGTACTTAGTTTTCTTTCCATATATACAAATTTCTTTACTTGCTAATAAAAGTGGTCATGAGTACTTATCTCATGCAATCGAATTCTCCCGCTCACATATAAAAGTGATTATGAGTACTTATATTTTATGTATATGAATTTTTTCGCTCGCTAATAAAAGCGATTATATATACTTATATTTCTTTGTTCGCTAATAAAATTGGATACTATTACTTATATTATGTATATAAATTATGAAACACTAGTATCGGGCTTATACCTTAGGTGCACGATAGAAGCGACGATGACAGACGGCGACGACAACAACGCACAAAAACTTGTGATGCACAATTAGTTTTTCTTTATCATGATTAATACTTATTGCATTTAATTATATCCATATTATATTTATTATGTTTTTAGAGGGGGATAGAGAGAGAAAGAAAGTGTGCAAGCTTTATAGAGAGAGAAAGAGACGGGATGAGTGAATTTAGCTTGAATGGTGTAGGAAGGTGTTTATATTGAGAATGATATTTAGAGAGAGAAAAAGAGAAATTTTTTCTCTTTCTAAAAAGGGAGATAGAAGGAAATGATAGTGAAGGGAGGTGTTTCGAATGAAATTTCATGGATTTTTGAAAATTTTCTCTCTCTAGACTAGAGAGTAAAGTTGATTGAGATGGGGCTTTTTGAAAGAGGATGTGTAGGAGTTGTTTGGGAGTATTTATTGTGAAGTGAGATGTAGGATTTGAGGGATATATGATGGAGGAGGAAGAAAAAGGTGAAGGAGAGGAAGAAAAAGGTGAAGGAGAAGAAGAAGAGTGGAAGAAGAAGAGAAAATGGGAAGAAATATGGGAGGAAGAAAGAAGAAGAAGAAGAAGAAAGAAAGTACAAAAAGAAGTAGAAGAATTGAGAAGGAGAAGGAAGAAGAAGAATAGAAGGATAAGAGAAAGAATAAGGAGGATGAGGAGGAGGATTACCTTGGATGGTGGTGAGGAGAGGAGTCCGATAGCTTGGGCAAGCAAGAGAGAGGAAGAGAGCAGAGAGGGAGTGGCGTACGTGTGGTTTGGCCGTGAATGATCGTGAGTGGCCGGTTAAGGAAAGTACGTGTTATGGAGTGTTATGTGAGTTAGGGTGTATTTTAGGGATTATTTAGGATTTTTTATCTCTCTTTCTCTCTCTATTATCATTTATAATCATATGAAATAAAAAATCTTTTTTATTCGTGCTTTGGCTCGGTCGCCATCATCGTCCGCACAAGTCATTGCCTCAATTTGCATGCGTGAAATTTAAATTTTTGCCGATCAATGTTTCTAATCAATATGGGCTTTGATCTTAACTTTTTTCATTGCTCCAGATGCACTAGTACCATCCATTTTGCGAAAGGATGCCAGTTTGGCATTTTTTTATTTTTGATTGACGCACATCATGCAAATTTCATGTGATTTCAAGCTCTTTCACTTTTCGAACCTCACTTTGTGTGGTTGACTTAACCCCAACATTAATATTGAGGTCAACATCTATGTAAATCTTAGAAAATATAATAATTATAATTTTAATAGATGAAATTTTAAAACCAATTAGTTAAAACATTTAGAATAATTAGTACTATGGTACACAAAAAAGTTATGTGATATAAGTTCATTAAATCGAGAGAAAATACAATAAAATTAGTTTTGGAAGAAATCAAATGATTAAAATCAAAATCTTTAAAAATACAAATGGGATCAAAGTCATCTGTAGTGATCTGAGCAATTTTTGTAGTTGTGAAATAATCCTAATTTCTCTATCCTTTCTCTTCCCTTCCCTTCTTATTTTCCCCTTTCCTTCTATGGTAAGCCCGAGAGAGAGAGAGAGAGAGAGAGAGAGAGAGAGAGAGAGAGAGAGAGAGAGAGAGAGAGGGTGACTGAGTGGAGATAAAATATATAAAAACTCATCTCAATGCTTGGCATCGCGATGCCATTAACAAAGCACCATTATGCAATATGTTGAATCCAAAATTACTATATAACAGAACTTTTAGTGCCATGGCGACATTTTTTGGCACCACAGCTCTCTCAACGATACTGTACTTACAAGCATAACATTGCAACACTACTAAAAATATGCAATAAATTGGAAAGTAATATTATTTAAAATATGGTTATTACACATGTTATTATGTATAGGAGGGTGGGTTGACGAGTTTTTCTTTAAATAAGATTTTTGGTGTAATTCTAAGTGATATAACAAGGGAACTATAAAGAGATTGATTGATATGATATAATGCACTAACGGGCAAGAAGTGACGGCTTCTTATATGAAAGCCACTTGACTGATGACTTGTGATAAGACTGATTCCTAGAAATATGAATGATATGATTAAGACAAAATTTTTGTAAGATTGGCCTATAGGAACAGAAAAAAGGAAAAATGCCATATGTAGCTGGATTTCTAATCTTATTTTTATTATTTATACATTCATAAGCCATCAAAAAACTTTATACATTGCATAAGTGACACGATATGATACATGTCATGATTTATGCAGTCATGTGATATGATTGATAAAATGGATACAAGGGCATATAATTTATAATATTGATATTATTAGACATGCATACACATATTGCACTACTGATAACACTGATATGATTGATATGACTAATACCTGAAATTACGCATTTAATAGAAACATGATATAGATATTGCACGACATGTATAAGGCAACTATATGGATTTCATAAAGTACTACATAAATTGTTTTGTAATTGATAGGAATAAGAATGATAGAACATATTGTCTCTTTCATGACTACTAATCATTATTCATAAGATGTACAAGTGCATTACTTTTATTACTCATATGATATGACATTGTTCACTTTGACTGTTTCTAGATTTATAGTTATACATTCATACTTATATTCATAGTGATATTGATTGAATGACTACATGCATATTGTTTCCATTGCCTTACATTAATTGTAGTCTTAAGTTCTAATAACCTACTAAGCAGTTAGATCACTCCATGATTTTTTTATGTTTTTAGGAAGGGGTAAGGATCTAGTGGAGTGAAACAAATCAGGATTTCCAAAGTTTTCTTTTATTTTGTATTTTGGTTTATTATTTTATAGTTTGGAGTTTAGAATGATAGATTGATGTATTGATTGACCTCTTGACAATTGCATATGAATTTTGGGAAATGAATATGAATGAAATTGTAAATTGAAGAAAATAATTTAGAAATTTCATTACTTTCGTTGATGATGTATTAATTAAAAAGGGATTAGTGACTCTAGTAGATTAATTAAGAAGTAAAATAAATAATTCTTTCAAATTTAAATCCCGGGGCTTTACAATCTTAATAATAACTCATGGGAGAAATTGAGCTTGATTATTTGGAGTATAGTGAATATAATGATTTCATCAAGGTGTTTATCACGAACTGTATCATGAGAGTGTGGGCATCCATTCTTGCTATCTAAATGTCTTTAACGAACATCCATGCTTCCTTTATCATTAGTGCCTTAATCATCACACTCGATACCTCCATCATTACCGCCATTGTGAAAGAACTTGAATCATTTGCCATATTTTTGTCCAAACTTAATTTCTTCACTTCATAATGACTCTCATATTCCACCACCAAATCAAAATCCATGGCCTCCCCTCACCATGACCTTCACCTCCATGACACTCACATCTTCCACAACCACTACCTCTTCTATATTATTCTTCACCTAAGACCTCAACCTCTTTTCAAGGGAGATACAGAATATATTATTACATTATTATTTTTCTGTCTAGTTCTCATATTAAGAGGATGAAGTCGTGCTAAAAAAAACCTGTTAATTGACTTTTTGAGCCCTATAAATATAGCATTGAAATGAAATGAGAAGATAAGACTTCTTGGTTCTCCTATTCCATTAGGATATTTGTCATAATTAAATCCAAAATTTGAATATATCATCACAAATGGCCAAATTTGAACTAGTTCTCATAGGAGACCAATACAACTCCTAAGATTGCCCTACAACTAAAAACCTTATAGCTCAAGATTTCTCAACCAACCAAATCAAAATAAGATTATTCAAACAAAACCAACATTATCATCTTGTTCCTTTATTTTTAATTAATTCAATCATTTAGTAATTGTCGGATTTCATCATCAATGCATGGCCCTGCAAAGATTAAAAAAAGAGTAGAATGATATAATTTTTTGTAAATTATTAATGCATACTTAATTAAATGATTTGATGATCAAGGTTTAATTGATGGAGCCATCCCTATTTTGATTCTTCATGCCCTTGCAACTTTAGAAATCCTCTCCTGCCCTTCTTCAATGGCATCAGCGCCCTCGAAGCTCTACTCAGGTGAGCTCATTTCCATCTCACCCCGCAGATCGCTCTCTTTCTCTTTTCATTTTCGTTCTCTGTGATCCATTACTTCAATTCACATTTCCGCTTCCGTAGACGATGTCAGCCTGGTCGTTGTCCTTCTCGATGCCAATCCTTTCTTTTGGGCCGCCGGAGCAGGCGGCGGAAACCACCCCGCCGCAACTCTTCCCTTCTCAAAATTCCTGGACCATGTCAGCTGCTGTCTCCACCTGTTCTATCTTCATAACGCATCATAACCAGATACTGAACTAACCCTAGCGATTCGACGCTTTGTTCGTTTCAGGTAATTCCGTTTTTGAATTCTCTTCTCCTTATGAATCAGCTCAACCAAGTGGTTCTCATCGCCACTGGCATCAATACGTGCGGCTACATCTACGATTCCGGCAACGGCGGCCCCGAGGGAAGCGACAATGTGTCGGAGATCTCATCGGAGATATTACTGAGGTTGGAGGAGTTTGTCTGCAAAGACAGAAAGATTGGGAAAGGCACTGAGAGGGCTATGGGTGGCAGCGTGTCTTCCCTCCTCTCCGGGTCTCTTTCACTCGCTCTTTGCTGTATCCTTGATTATTGCATTTGGTGAAGTTAGCTTCTTTTCCTAGTTCTGTGTCTTCAGAGTTCAACTACTCTTTAACAAGGAGAAGACGTACAGAAGGTTTTTAGGTCTGGCGCAATTCATCCCCAGCCCAGAGTATGTATCATTATTTCCTCCCGGCTCCTTTTGTTTAGCTCTTTGTGTTTTGATCATAGTTGTCTTAATCTTTTATTGGGTCAATTGAAGTCCAATGCCAGGCATGTTTTCTAGATATATTTTCTTTGTTACTTTTCATTTTGCCTATGAGGTTTAGTTTCTCGACACTAAATTCAACATGAAATATATGTATGTGTCTGTGAATAGAATCTTGGATATGGTTTCTCCTTTTTTATTTTCACTGTATGCCTTAATAGAATCATATGGGATGATGTAATGAGATCGTTGTAGGTACTATGAATCTCAAGTTTTCCTGAATTGAAATAAATATGAAAAAAATAGGCTCAGGATATTTTGATCAAGATAAATTTCAGGGTCATTGGATTTGCTTTGAGATGAGTATAATGTAAATATTGATTGATTCCTTACAACTTTGAAACTCAGCTTGACCCAAAAATTTTTCCAATAAATATGCCAAAATTAGACCTGTCAATTTCGGGTCACGGGTCGGGTTCGGGTCGAACCCGGATTGACCCGGTAATATTCGGGTTCGGGTCAACCCGACCCGTTTTTGTAAACGGATCGATTATCCAAACCCGAACCCGACCCGCTTCGGGTTCGGGTCAACCCGACCCGACCCGCGGCAACCCGTCGGGTCAACCCGAACCCGACCCGTTTTTGCAAACGGGTCGGTTTCCCGGACCCGAACCCGACCCGCTTCGGGTTCGGGTCAACCCAAACCCGAAAATTTTGGGTCGGGTTTTCGGGTCGGGTCAAATATTGACAGGTCTAGCCAAAATGGCTGCATCCATCATTCAGTTGATTATGTCTTTCTCTCATACAAAAGAAAAAGTTATATTAGACATTGATATTAATGTGAGAATGCCATTTTATTATAGTTAATATTACCCTAGAAATGAATTAGGTGGATTAAGTTGAGTTTGATATCTATTTGATACAAAAGGCTTAAGTTAATAAATGAAAGCTTGCCACAAGTATTTTAACATCAAATATTATTTCTAACTATTTAATGCGAGACTTTCTAAATACTCTTTAAACCATAGAAGTTGCATACATATACACTTTAAGCATTAAAAATTTTCCCATTTGCGTCACACACAAAGATTAACCGAGTGGTTCACTTCATCACTAGGCACCATAGAGAAGTTTTTATTATTTTTCTCATGCAAGTGGAAAGATGCCAAAGATCATGAAATTTCATCAACTAGTGAAATTTAGTTGAACCGTCTCCTCTTGGCTCTTATATCAATTGTCAGGAAATGAATCACTTGGGACAAAGTTGGGCTTTATAAATGGCTAGAAACATCTTTTTTTTTTTTCATGTAAAACTTGACAGTAGGTGAGACTTAAGCACTAATATATTGACCCTTGAAAACATTTTAAACCCTTGTGAGGGATGTACTTTTATGTGCTTTACCATTATAATGTTAAGAATCTTCTAAAAAAAGCTTGAAACAAGACTGCTATAGTGAGGTATGGTTGGCAACTAACATAAGCTAGAATTAATAGTGTGAGATTACATTAAAGAAGTTTGACTATTTGAAATTTATTTATTGATGTAAACATCCATAGAAGATCCAAAGTCTACCTGTAATGGTTTTAGAAATTTCAAACAAAATGAAATTCTAATTGAGCTATTTTAGTGTGTGTTTTTTGCTTATGATCTACTATGGATAAACGATGCATCTTTTGAAATAAGTAAATAATTAGAATATGAGGAAATGCTTAGAAGAGATGAGGCTTAAGATTAATAGGATAAAGATAAACATTTGATATTCAATTTTAGTAGGACTGAATAATTATCAATTAGTGTTGGTGGAAGATAAAGTGATAATATATGATGAATTTATTATATAAAAGGAGATATAAATGAGAATATAAGTTTTATAGCTAAGAGTAAACAAATAGAATGTGGATGTGCTTGCAATAAGAGAACATGAAAAGTAATGGTAAATTTCATAAAATTCCAATTTTACCATAATGCAAAATTGATACAACAAGTCAATGCTAGCCAAATTAAGCTTGGTAAAAATGAGATTGTAAGATGGAATTGCTTTAAAGTTAGAAATAGACTGTAATGCCTATTCATATAGGCACTAAAAATAATTTGGTGATTTGGGTGTGCAATAGTGACCATAAGTTGAACCAATAAGACAGATAGATAAGCTTAATTTGGAACTATTAGTAAGAAAATGTGATAGAACCAAAGGCAACATGGATGGAGGTTCTGAAAAAGTTTGTGCAAAATGGTATTAGCAACTTATGCGTCTCTTTCTTTTAATTAGAAATAAATGACTAAAGAGGATCGTAAAGACAACCTTAAATAGTTGGTATAAGGCTGATGATGATCATGATGACGTGGGTCTAGTTTTGGTGAATGTTAAACCTCCAGAATCCTGTTGTTCATATCTTAGTAACAACCTGTTCTCAAAATCCATTTATATTAGATCAGATAAAATTAGAAAATTGAATTCTGTAAGTTCTCATTATGTCAAGCATGAGAAATTTTGATGCTATTTCTCGTAAATGCATTTATTTATGAGTAATTTTTCACCATTGGTTGTTTCTATGAGTATGAAGCTATTGTAGGAGAACTATTTTTTTTTCTTTAGCTGAAATTATTATAGCGATCCTTTTTTAGGCTGTTACAGTTCACATGCTTGATTAAGGTGCATGTATATCTTATGCTCAATTAAATTAGCTTTGCACAGAAAAGAACATTTACTTTTTATTATGTTGACCCTCTTTCTGTTTCTTGATGATAGAGGACTTGATTTGTGATGAATAAGAATAAAATCTATAGTTTTTATCTAATTAATATTAACAATGACATCTTGCAGGCTTCCGGCAAAGGCTCGTTGTTTTTTTTTTGCGTGAAATTACAATCAAGGCCTCATGTCATATTCCCCATTTTATTTATTCATCACCTATCCTGTACCAACCTTCCTCTTGAGGATTTAATTGCATTGTGTTTTATTTGCTTGAAATAGAAATGCTTATGCTGTTTACCTGGATACTGTGATGCAATAGTAAGTAAAATGAATAATATGCAAGCTTAGTGATGTAAATTAAAATTTAGAATTTTCAGTTTTATATTTTCTCACAGAAAATCCAAAGAATATATTTTTTAAATAATACTTGTTTTATTGTGCTGCTGTCTGGATGTGCTATAAGGTTTTGAAATTATATTAGTTTTTGGAACAAGTTAAATTTTCTTGTATTGTAGAATGAGGTTCAATGCTAATTGTTGAGTATGAGTACTCTGAGCGTCTATTTTTTATGCATGGTGCACACTGAACATCTCAATATTATTAAATCCACATTGGTTTTGGATTTTTCTATGAATGATTTCCACTGATTTAGTTTATGAATGATGTATTATCTTCTGAGAGCTGGATGTTAATTTTCTAACCTCTGTGATTAAATAATTACTTTTTGGCTTCCCCTTACTCCTAGGGGCGGAGCCAACCCTAATTTTCAGGGGGGGGTGCAAATTTATAAGGCGTGTATATCGGGGGTCTAAGGGGCCAGCGCCCATGGCGGGGTTCGACCTGCCCGGTCAGGTCGTGGGGCCAAGGGGCAGCGCCCCTGCGGGGGTTTCCGGGGGCGGAACAAATTTTGGTTTGAAGGATATTTTTGAAATTCAATGATGAATTCTCTTTACTATTTCCTAGGGGCAATTACCTAAAGACCATAGTATTTTAAAATTTTTAGGGGGGGCAATTGCCTAAAAATCATTGTAATAAAGACAAAAAAATGAATGAAAATGGACAAATTACCTAAAAAATCATATAATCACATTTTTTAAAATTTTTTGAGGGGGTGCCGAACCCAAGAGGGTTCCGCCCTTGCTTACTCTATAAAGATAAACTATTTATGTTGAAGTTTCTAAGTTGAGTGTCCCTGTTGTGTTAACTTATTGTTTTCTTTGACCAATGCATGACATCATTATTTTTTATATTGTTTTTTGACAGCGTCACTAAATGCATTTTTTGGACCCAAGTTGTCAAATAGTTCACTTTTTGTATTTGATTATGATTGATACATGTCATACGGGCCAAGTATCAATCTAACATCTTGTGACAGATCCTGTGCTTGCAGGCATCTCCAGATGGACCCGAGCAGTACGTTTCTAAGCTATTTGTATCTTTTGTTTTATACGGTTCAACCATTTAGAGGTGAATTTTCAGATATGTTGCAGTAATGAATGCAATATTCTCAGCACAACGTTCCATGGTATGATATACATATATTTTTATAAGTATTCCTTTTGTAACTCTGATTTAGAATGTTATGCCTGTGAAAGTGGGGATATTTCTTTTCACAAATGTTATGATGTATGTCTTATCATTTTAGGTTGGTTTTTATCAACCTTATCTTTGTAGTTTAAGCAACGCTCAACTTTCAACTTATTTTGCTAGTTTTATCAAACTTATTTTGGTAGTTTTATGCCTGCTAAAGATAGTATATTTCTATTTCATAATTGTTTTGATGTTATTCTGTTCATTTTGGTCCGGTAATTTTTTTATCAAACTTATTTGGTAGTTTGAGCAACTCATAACTCTATCGCAGAATCACCATCCAGCTAAAGAAGTCTTTAAGCTATCGTTTGCATTTGAAAATGGAAATTCCTAAGCAAATCAAATACAGCTATGTATCATGTGCTAAAGTTAAGCTCAAGGGTTATGTGATAACTGACCTTGGTATATATTCACGAAGAACTAGGAAGGCAAACATTCTTACAGTAATTTATTTCGTTCTCTTCATCAAACTCTATTTGTTTATAGCTTGAATCTGATTAACTGATCTACAGAAGGCACTATCTCATTTATTTATTTATTTTTGTAGTTCTATTATCCATGAATGTTCTATTTATGTTGCATCTTGTTTCCACGGAGTCAGCTGTTCCTGAAAATTTGAAATTTTAATATGAAAACTGATGTAATGCTTCATCATTTCATCAATACAACGATGTATGACATGTCATCAAAGTCGTTTGTGAACTTCTAATTGATTTGTTTTATTCTGTAATAAAGAGGATGACTTTTTTTTTTTTGGCTGAAATTTAAAGAGGATGACTTATTTAGTAGTTTCTTCCGTGATATAGTTGTCTTTTATGAATAATATCAACTATTCTTTTTTATTTCACATGGGTTACTCTCCCTCTTATTATTTTTTTAATGGCTTAAAAATTTACTATAAACTAATAATGCTTATATATGGAGAAATTATCTTATGAATATTGAAGAATTGCAAGAAAGTTTCTACTCTGTTCGCTCTCTTTCACCTTTTCTCCTCTCTCTCTCTCACTCTTGGTGGATTCTAGTTCTCTCTTCTCCCCTTTTCCCCTAGTTTGTATCATTTGGAATTAGATTCGTGTCTTATAAAAATCATTTTCCATTAAATCTACCAAAATCAAGATATTAGTTGCATTATCAATCAATGCCAAACTTTCCAATGTGGCAAGGCTATCGAATAACCTAAATGACTACACACTCTTGCTCATCCCTAATTATTCGTGGGAAGACGATTGTATGGATTTTATTATTGATTTACTGAGGACCACCCTCGAATATGCCTATCTTTGTTGTTGTAGACTTTGAAAATTCTCGCCCAACTCTTCTAAGAAAGTGTCCTAGGTTAAATTTTCATTACATTGATTGGATTATAGATTAGACGCTAATAAAAAAATTTTGCTCTCATTTTTGCGAGAACTATATTATTTGACTCCATCTTTTCCATTAGCGTAAACCCTTATAATTACTTATCTTTCCTAATTGCGAGAGTGAACTTTCGATTAAGGCTAGTTTGTAGGTGTTAAGTAATCAACAGTCAGCGTAAAACTTTGCCGAATAATCATAACAAAAATCATTTAATATATGTTGTGTGACCTGAATACAATGACTTAGAGGAATTAATACAAAAGATACTTCTTGAAAAAAGTGTTTTTATTGGAGAAGATTTAAATGGATATGTTGGTAGAGAAGTTGAAATATTTTAAAAGCATTCATGGTTGTTATGAGTTTAAAGCGACTAATGAAGGTGATAAGACTATATTAGATTTTTCTCTAGCTTATGATTTTATAATTGCTAACCCTTTTTTAAAAAAATAGAGAAGCATCTCATCACTTATAAGAATAGACATAATAAAACAAATGGATATAGTAAAACTCATATTGATTTTTTTTATGCAACAACAACATCAAGCCTTTATCCCACTACGTGGGGTCGGCTACATGAATCCTTTTTCTCCATTGTGTCCTATTAAAAGTCAAATTCTCGTTTAAATCTAATAAAGAAAGGTCATTCTTAATATTTTCTAACCAAGTCTTTTTAGGTCTACCCCTACCTTTCTTAACATAAGTCAAATCTAATACCTCTACTCTCCTAACCGGGTCATCGCAAGGCCGCCGTTTTATGTGACCAAACCATCTAAGGCGACTTTCTCTAATCTTATCTTCTACTGGAGCTACTCCAACCTTTTCACGTATATGGTCATTTCGTATCCTATCTCTAAGGTTAAAGCCACTCATCCACCTGAGCATCCTCATCTCTACCACCTTTAACTTAGTATTATGCTTCTCTTTTAAAGGCCAACATTCTTTGTACTTTTCAAAGATTGTATAGTTAGTTCGAGTGAAAGTTTATGTACCCGGTATCGCTTATTAGTTTTGTACTTTAAGACGAATGGGTGAAATATGAAAAATAAAGTAAAATGTTGTTTTAGGATTAGAGAATAAGATTGAAGATCTTAAGATTTTGAATATATGTGAGGAAGTTAATGTTATGTGGGAAAAAATAGTTAATGATATTAAGAATATTGCAAAAGATATGTTTGGGGTATCAAAAGAGAAGCTCCTAATAGTAAAAATAGTTAGTGGTTGAATCAAAATGTGCAAGAAAATATAAAAAATAAGAAGTTTTATTATAAAAATTGGTTAGAAGTACTCAAAAAATTAGAAAAGATATAAATAGGCCCATAATAAGTCTAAGGAAGCAATATGTGATGCAAATAATTTAGCTTTTAATGATTTATATAATAGATTAGATACTAAGAAGGGCCAAAGATGTATGTATAAGTTAGCTAAAAAAAGATAAGTAAGAATTTAGTTCAACTGAAGTGCATTAAGAATGAATAGAAAAAATTAGTTTTATTAAAAGATGATATTCAACAAAGGTGGATAAGATATTTTGTTAAGCTTTTTAATAAAAATTGTGAGAATACAATTGGCTTTAATGGATTTAACACCCTAAATGAAAATAGAGACTTTTTTTTATCGGCGTATTAATAAAATCAAAGTTAGAGAGATTTTAAAGAAAATGAAGTGTGGAAAAACTGTTGGATCTGATAATATTCTAATAGAGGTGACAATGCTTAGGAGATGGAGTTTCTTAGCTTATGAAACTTTTTAATATTATTTTGAAGATTTAAAAGATGTTAGATGAGTGGAGGAATATGTTGATTCCTATTTTTTAAGATAAAGGTGATGCATAAGAGTGTGCGAATTATAGAGAAATTAAGTTAATGTGTCATAATTTAAAATGGGAGAGTTATTGAGCATAGGTTGCGACGTGATACTAATATTTCTCAAAATGAATTTGAATTCATGTCAGGTAGTAGGCCTACTATGAAAGATATACATCTATTGAGAGATTTGATGGAGAAGTATAGAGAGAATAAGGAGGATCTACATATGATATTTATTAATTTAGAGAGAGCTTATAATAAAGTTTTTAGAGAAATGCTATTGAGAGTTTTAGAGAAAAAAAAAGGTTACTAATGCTTATACTCAAGTCATTAAGGATATGTATACAGAAGCTGTTACTTGTGCTTAAACACAAGGATGTTGAACCAAGTATTTTCCTATTTCAGTTGGATTACATCAAGGATCAACTTTAAGCTCATATCTTTTTGCTTTGATTATGGATGTTCCCAGGTCTCAAGTCCTAGATGAGAAAATTTGAGGGTTGCGTTAGGTAGTCGACAATCAGCGTAAAACTTGCCGAATAATTATGACAAGAATCTTTTAAAAAATTGTGTTAATGCTAGGGCGTCCCCTGGAAGCGACGCGCTGTACAGCCTGAATACAGTGACAAGTGTGCAAGGGCCGCTGTACCGGCGCTCGGGTGTAGTGTTAAATAGGCAAGGGTTCCCACATCAAGAACGGATGTGGGAAAAAAAGCTAGTCCATGAAATTAAAATTAGGATAGGAACTTGGAATATAGGCACCCTTACAGGAAAATTATTGTAATTAATAGATATTATGATTCATAGGAAGATAAATATTTTGTGCATTCAGGAAACTAAATGGGTTTGAGAGAAAGCTAAGGAGATTAATAGTTTGGGATATAAATTATGATATTCGGGTAGGAGTCGTACTAGAAATGGTGTAGGTGTAATTATAGATAAGAGTTTGAAGGATAATGTTATAAAAAGTAACAGAATTGGAGATAGAATTATAGTTTTAAAGATTGTTGTTGATGCTAAGATTGTTAATTTTATAAGTGCTTATGCTCCTCAAGTAGGTTTGGATATGTGTTCAAAATTATAATTTTGGAATGACTTAGAAGAATTAATACAAAATATACCTCTTGAAGAAAAAGTTTTTATTGGAGGAGATTTAAATGGACATGTTGGTAGAGAGGTAGATGATTTTAAAAGCATCCATGGTGGCCATGAATTTGGAACGATAAATGAAGGTGGTAAGATTATATTAGATCTTTCTTTAGCTTATAATTTCTTAATAGCTAATACCTTATTTAATAAAAGAGATGAGCATCTTATCACTTATAAAAATGGATATAGTAAAATGCAGATTGATAATTTTCTTATAAGAAAATTAGATTGTTTAGATTGCAAAGATTGTAAAGTTATTCCGAGTGAAAATTTATGTACCCAACATCGATTATTAGTTTTGGACTTTAAGATAAAGGAGCAAAAAATAAAAAAATAAAGTAAAATGATTTTTTAGAATTAGATGGGGGAATTTAAAGAATATTAATAAAAGTATTTTTGAGAGTAAGATTTTAGATCTTAAGATTCTGTCTGTGCATGAGGATGCCAATATTATGTGGGAAAAAGTGGCTTGTGATATTAAGAATATTGCAAAAGATGTGCTCGGAGTTTCAAAGAGAAAAGCTCCTAATAGTAAAAATAATTGGTGGTGGAATTCAAATGTGCAAGAAAAGATAAAAAATAAGAAGATTTATTATAAAAATTAGTTTAGATGTAAAAA